TTGCGGAATTATATGACGACTGCTGTTCCGTGTGTTCGCATCTAACTGTTGTGCTCCCCCTTCAGCCAGTTCGATCCTGGTGTGAACAAGGATTATTCGACGTTGCTCTCGTGATCTCAGTGAGTCTAGCTCGTCAACCCCCCTGTTCGTATACTACAGTTCCCAAGCCCGTCAATCCCCGTGAATCCCCGTGAACTAATTTTTCAAGGCCGTCAGTAATTTGTTGTGTCAGCATGGCTTTCCAGTATGCATATGCGATCGTGAGCAAAATTCCGGAGTCGTTCGCAGATTACCGTGCGGATAAGGATACCGTAGGACGTAGGTCTCTTGCAGCTGCACATGCTGAGCGCACTGAGTTCGTTGAGACTCTTCGTAAAATTGGGGTTGATATTTTGGAGTTGGAGGCGGAAGAGCGACATCCGGAATGTGTGAAAGTTGACGATACGGCAGTGATAATTAACGGAACTGCTCTGATGTGTAACCCTTCCGGTCCGCATCGCCAGGGAGAAGTATGTGGTTGTGTTCTTTCCAAGACTCATGCCTTAGGTTAATCTAATAAGACAGACTTTAAAAAAGGAGGTTGGAGTGAAAATTGTTGAACTCAACACCGAAAACGCTCACGTTGAGGGGAGTGATGTGTTGTTTACTGGTAAGTGATATGATCCCCACAAAAATCTTTTGGAGTATGGTTAATTGTTACTGCTGCATGGTCTGAATACTTATTTTCTAGATGTTCGGTTTGCTCAGCCATGAATGCCATACACCCTTGCTGTTCTTATAGTTATTTTCATTAGCTAATGTTAAAATAAATTGGTTTTACAGAAAAAGGCTTTTTCTTGAATCATACGTATTTTTTTGCATGGGTATTTACAATGTAACTGATTAGTTTCGATCAATCGTCTCTGCAAATATGTACAAAAATTATGTTTATGTGCTTCGTTCCTTAACGGGCACTCGGCTTGATCCAGTCATTCGCTGATACATAAATTCTTGCTATAAATAAGTGCTGGTCACGGTAGTGTTTCAAAATATACTGCTTCCACTGTTTTTGTGTGTGAATTATGCATGTTCACAAGCCGGTATAAATATGTTACACACTTCTAAGTCTAGACTATGTACCGTACACTCTTCCCTATAAAAGTATTTTTTTATTTGCTCGTGGTTGCAGTTCCTTAGGACTGCCCAGAAACATCTTCCAAGGCAACTTCACCATGCGACATTCCGAATACTCGTAATTGCAAAAATGTAGCTCCCAGAATCGTTCAAGGTGTGGCTTAATCAAGCCACTGGAAACTTTGGAGCCATTAGTAAGTGTTGACAAATTATTGAAAATTGGTTCTCGTAGCTCGGGTGAACTGAATTCCATTTCGCTTGTTCGCCGAGCTTGGCAATTTGTTTGCAAACGTTTCATCACCAGCCGAGGTGACATCATCAGTGCTTGTGAAGTGGCCACTTCAGTGCTGATGCTTGATGGTCAGGAATTAGCTGTAGTGAAATGTTTCACCTACTTAGGTAGCTGCGTTTCAAATGACGATAGCATATTCAATAAAGTAACCGCCCGCATTTTCAAGGCTCGATTAGCTTACGCAGGATTGAAACACCTTTGGTGCAGACGCAATGTTTCGTTGAAACTGCAAGGTCGCGTATACTGCGCCGTGTGCGGTCAGTTCTGCACTATGGTTGCGAGACCCTAAATTTTCGCCTGGAAGATAATCGTCTACTGCAGATGTTTACGTAGTTTGGCGCGGGTTGCATGGAGCGAGTTTGTAAGCAACTCTGAGGTGAGGCGTCGCGTATTTGATAATGATTCGATGGAGAATTCGTTGTTCCATCGAATTCAGATTAGCCGGCTTCACTGATTAGGACACGTATTACGCGTGTCCAGTCATCGTCTGCCGCACCGCACCTTATTCGCAATTGCGGTTCTAGGTTGGAAGAAACCACATGGAGGTCAACAGATGACGTGGAAGCGTGGCATCAAGAAATGCACAGAGGGATTAGGTAGAATCGGTGTCTCCCATCTTCCTGGTTGCGGTCCGAAAGACTCTGCAACTAACTGGCTGGAGACATTGAAAGATATGGCGACTAACCGACAGCAGTGGTGTTCTTGTTGTCATTTCTTATCCGGTCAGAATGCTTGAAAAGATATGTATGCACACTCAGATTGTGTACTCTGTGTGTTGACCATAGAGGTTCTTTTTCTTTGCCTCCCTCGTAGTAGGCCCAATCCCTCTCCATTTTGTGCTTTATCACTTGATTTGTGTACATTGTGAGCTTGGCAGCGATAAGTGAAGTTCGCTTCACTGTATTTCGCTGTACGATGATGATGATGCCTATGGGGCTATACTGTCACGTTGCCCGGGCCAAAGCAGGTGAATTTTCTTGGGGATTTCACAACCGGAGTCTTCGTTCAGCCAATGAATGACCCGCAAGGCAGCGAGACGGTGTGTGTTAGCCGCAATCCATTGGGGCCGGTGTCCAGTTCATCAGATCATGCACCCTTCGGACGGGGTCAAACGTCCACGGTGCCCAATACACCTTGATACCCAATCGAGCTAGTGATCACTGCCACAACCACGAAGCTGTTTGTGGTTCGTACGCCTCCTCTTGCTTGGTTTGGAATCAGGATTTTTGTCCAACTTCACTAGGTAGACTGCCGGAGGTTCACAGACCAGGTTGTAG